TGCTGGGGGATTGAATCGCGGTCCCTGTGCTTTGCCAAGCTTGTTCCAAGTAGGTGCTTTAGACCACTGAGCCATCTCTCCAGCCCCAGTGGGAAGCATTTAGCACAGTGCCAGGCACAGGGCCCTCAACAAATGTTTCTTGCTGCGTCTGATGAACGATGGTAATGCTTCTATCTTCATATTCACAGAGCTAAGCTTTTTTCTTCAAAAAAAAAAAAAAAAAAAAAGGATGAGATGACCAGAGGAAAGAAATATGTAGGGGCTTTGCTCTCCAAAAGGATGTGACCTTCTTAATGGGAGATGGCTCAGTGGAATAAGCGCTTCCCTGGCAAGCACAAGGGCCTGAGTTCAATCCCTGGTAAAAAAAAAAAAAAAAAAAAAACATCTCTATGTTTTTAAGTGCTCACCACCGTATCTGGCCTATGAAGAATACTGAATAAATGATACTGTATATCTGTGACACATAATGAAAAATTATGTAACAGTTTCCAAACAAACCCTAAATTGCCATCCCAGTGCAATACCCACAGAGAGTAGGAAGGGGCTGTGCCTGCTTTTGTGTGGCTCACCCCTCCATCACTCTGCACATTACAGATGAGGATCTGAGGTGTGGGGAGAGCAGAGAACGAGGTTGGGAACCTGCCTCTGGAGGTCAGCTCATGTGTTCTGACCCTGGATCTGGGGTTCTGTCCAGTGGTCACATGCTTCCTAGTGCTGTATGTGTGTGCTGTCTGCAGTGTTTTTGTCATGAACATATTCACTCATGGAAACATGCCAGAAGCACTTTTGAAATTATGAAAAGCTATTTTAAAAATTCAATTCATCTGTCAGAGAAAAGCAGTGATTTTGTTCCAGGTGGCTGTCACAGGTGTTTTATTAGGTGCTAAGTGCTGATCCCTTTCATTCCGTTCTTCCAATCTGTAGTCCCTCTTTCTTAGTAGTCGTCCTGTATCCACATATCATTCTGACCGGAGAGTGGCCCCGTTATTTAGGCTGTGGGTTTTATTGCTAGGATACCAGGCTGTGGTAATCAGATGGTGTCACATAAAAGGATTTAAGGAACATGGAGCTAACGAAAATCCTCTCCTCAGCCCTGGAATTTCTGAAGACTGGCAAGTGGCAAGTCTGCAGGTCTCCTTTGTTACTGAAGTAGTATTTTTTTTTTTTTTCCTTGACTTCATCCCCAAAGAAGCTGATCTCTGGATTCCTTCTCTCTTTCTCAGCTTCTGGCCACCCACACTGTTTTTTTTGCCACCTTGAACTTGGCTCTGATAGGGAAGTGCCTTCCAGCTTTGCCAATCATGTGAATGTGGAGTTCAACATGCCCACGACTTCTGCCTCCAAAGCTGCTGTAAGATCCATCTCTGTGGAAGACAAGAGCGATGTGAGGAAGTGGGTCAACTATTCTGCACATTACAGCTACAAGGTAGCCTTGGGAGGTGTCTGGCTGAGGTTTCTGTGTCCCTTACTCCTTTTAGCAATGTTCACATAGGTACCAAGTATTCTCTTACTGTTCTAGAGGAAGTTCACATACATAGCTAATAGATGAGTTTGTTCTAATTTTCATAAGTGTCTTTCTTGTGAACAAAAGGCTGGAGAGAAACAAAGGGGCTGATTACATATAGGAGTATATTATCTGTTATTTTGACAACAAAATAGTGTGGTAAATCAGTGATTATTACTTATTCATAATTTATGTTGGTCTTGGATTGAATCATTATAGTCCCTCTCAAAAAAAAAAAAAAAAAGAATTAAAGATTTGAAAAATGATTTAAGAATTGTCTGTTCACAGTGATACCCGTACAATTATATGGTGATTTATTGTTCTGAGCATTTCCTTCCTTGTATGAGCCAAAACATTTGACTACCAAAAGAGCAAATGCTCCATCTTGTGGCCAGGAAAAACATGGCGCTTCCTTCACACAGCGTCTTCAGTTGTTGCCCTCTAAAGTGAGCGATATAAACATCCAGGTGCTGAGAGGAGCAACCTTAAGGATAAAATTACTGTACGCAAAGGACTCCCTTACTGATTTATCAGAGGCTTCACTTGCAGTCTGTTTCTGTGCAGGTGAGACTGATTTATTGATTCCACTATAAAGACAGTGACTTTTGGAGAAAAAAGTATAAACATGCCAATATTTACCAATTTAGAAGCCTCTGCCAGTATTTGGATGGGTTTAAATTAAAAATTATAAAGGAATTTATTCATTTGGTAAGCCTTTGTGAACTGCCTTCCATATTTCTACATTCTTGGATGAAATGGCAAAGATCTTGCTCCATCCTGTGGAGCCTGGAAGAGTGGGCCAGACAAGCCCACAGTACAGACGAAGGGTTCCCGGGGGAAGGCGGCTTCATGAGTCACGTGAGGAAGAAGAGAACGCCCAAGCAGCGAGGCGCATGCGCCAAGAGTCCTGTTATTCTTGGAGCCAGTAGCTCCCATGTGACTGAGGCCAGAACACTGGTGAAATTACAGAGACTCAAAAGAAAGCCTTCTGAGGTTCTCTTCTTGTTTGCTGGTATTTGTTTGTTTGTTTGTTTGTCTTCCTTCTGATATTTTTTTCCAACTTTTATTTTGGCAGGTGGAAATTGAGCAAAAAAAGAGCTTGAAGCCAGACTTTGAAGGAGATGAAACAGAAAATCCCAAGGCGTGTGGGGTACAGTGACAAAACCCTAACAGGCTAAATATCTTCCTGAATTGCTGGTTTAGTCAATACCTGCTGTGCCCTCCATGCTGGGAACAATCTGCCAGAGACCCGCCTGTTTGCAGTTACCTGTCTTTTCATAGGAACTCCTGAGGTGGTTGCTTAGGAGAGGCTGTTTGACCACGATCAAGCCTGAAGCATGTGGTTCATCTGACTTTTAGAGCTCTCTGTATAATGTAGCCACCTCGTCCAAGTTTTGCTTCTATCACAGTACTAATATGTGCTTTGTTTTGACTGCGAGAGTCCAGAAATGCACCTCCAACGTCATTGCAGGCATGAATTCCTTCTGATGTTCCTCTGTCACCATGAGTTTCTGGAAAACATGGTTTTGAAAAGTTACTTAAGAGTCCATTGCTGTCTCTTCCTCTAGAAAAGGCTCAGAAAAGGTTTAAGACAAATTTCCTGTGTGCGTCTACTAGACTCTTTTTAGATGTCTCTAGTCCTTAAATGTTAATGCTATGCAACAGGGCTTTTCCAGATGTTTCTCCCTTGGTTATAGATTATTTAAATTGACACATTTCTGCTTTCATTTCCTTTAGGTCTCAGTCACAGGATTTATTATCCTGAATCTCACTAGACAAGGAGAAAGGGCCTAACAGGATCTTTTAAATTCTGTGGCTGGACATACATTCTGCAAATAGATTGGACTGAATTCACATTCTGTTGAGAGAAAAGCAAAATTCAGCTTCTCTTCATTTTGAGGAAGAGAGACATTAACTGTAAGATTATGTTCAGTGCAGGAGACTTCTTCAGTCTTGGTGAACTGCAAATTCATACTGAAAAATACAGGCCAGGCCACTTTTGATTCCTGAAACAAATACCTCAGGCATTTGTCAGGGGCATTTGGGAGCTCTTTTTATACCTCGTAACCTAGACTGTTGCATGTCTCCTTCATGAAAATTTTGTAGGAAATTTAGGCTGAAAAGGAGATTTTAAAAACTCTTTTAAACTTTGGATAAGCTCTCTTAAGTGTAGAGCTTGGGAATCATAGTATTGTAATAAATCAAAAAGACAGAGTAGGATAACAATAGGGAAAAGCCATTATTTCCCTATGTTGTGAACATCAAATTCTGATTCCAAGAGTCCGGATATTGAGTCTTCTTTCTCTTCATTTTATTTGTACCTTGATGTTTGATGATGAATAGAATGAGGTGAAAGAAAGCACATTTTATCTGATTTGTAGCTGATACAGAAGCAGACTCTATGTCAAATTTTCATTGACAGATTTAAGGGTCATTTAGTCAGTGAACACTCATGGAATTATAACTGTTACTGACAGTTGGTTATAGAAAGCATTACAATGCCTTGAAGTATCTAAGCATAAGACTGAAACTAAATGGAGAAGATTGAATAGACATTAATGAGAAACCCTATATACTGAGTTTTTAAAAAAGCCTCCCTCTAAGTACAGACTGTGTGTGTGTGTGTGTGTGTGTGTGAGAGAGAGAGAGAGAGAGAGAGAGAGAGAGAGAGAGAGAGAGAGGTTGGGGAGAACTGGTTTTATAGGCACTCATACAGAAATATTTTCTTAGGGAAATGGGAGTTCTGAATTGGAAGTATATCACAGCTATCAAGGCTAATGCATGCAACCTGTGTCAGCAGAAATTTAGAGCTCTCTCCAAGATGCATTGTTCAGTACATACCTAGGTGGAAGGCTGAGTTCAGTTACAGATAACATATTCTAACTTTGAAGAACAAAATGTAACAGCAAAGAGTACAAAGCAGGATGGAATGATACACTATTAGCTCCCCAAAATTTTCAACTATAAAAAAAGGAAGAGGAAGTAGATTTAAGAGTTCTAAAGAGCACCCTGTCACCTTTGGGGGGCCGGGGAGATGGCTCAGTGGAATAAGCGCTTTCCTGGCAAGTGCAAGGGCCTGAGTTCAATCCCCGGTTCCGCCAAAAAAAAAAAAAAGAGTTCTAAAGAGATGAATAAACACAAGTAGCAACATTTCCTGTTTTGTAAATGCCCAGAAGTTAAAATAGCTGTCTATCTTACATGCTGTGAGAGGGACTCTCATATTGCATTTTGGCTAGCTGATAACCAAGATTTTTTTAAATGGTCTCAACAAGAGTGATATTCTCTAGCTCTAGCTATCTTTTTTCCTTTGTATTTTTATGCTGCTGGAAGTACAACAGAGTCCTTAAAAGATGTGCCAAGGGATTCTAAAGCTTGTCCTTTCCCATGTTGTACTAAGACACTAATGACTTCTCATAGATTGTCCAGATGGGTCAGAGAACTGGCAGAACGAGTGAAGGTCGTGCCACCACCTTCCTCACCCAGTGGCAAGGCCTCTGCCTCCCTGCTAGCATCACATGAGTATCATTTGTTGGTTCTTTTTCCTCCCATGATAAATTCTCAATGCCTTATTCTCATCTGAATTAATTTTTTTTTAAAATTTATTAACCAAGAGGTGGGAAAATCCCTTCTATATACTATCTACATTTGGCAAGCAAATTAGTAATAAACTTTAAGAATATTCTACTTTGATAGCATCAGGTTTGTTTTGATTCTACTAGCTCTATGGAACTAATTATGGGTAACATACAGGAGTCGGGGAATCTGACACAATATATTTTTAGTGTTTTGCTAATAACCTACATAAAAATCACAGACAACCTTTCTCATGTGTGGAATCTACAACTGCCATCTAGGATGTGGGTTTTTATTTTACAAAAACTTCTACTTCATGATATCAATAATGTGAAAATATTAACAGTTAATTCATCTTACCACTACATAGTATTACTACTAGAATACAAATTAGGTGTCCTGTGCTAGGAGGAACTACTCTGCACTTAAGAGTTAGGGCTTGCTTTTCAACTTTACAGTAAAAAACAATAACTATTTGTTATGGAATGTCAAAGAAGAGACTGTGAGGCCTTTTGTGAGGGAACATTAAACCTCTTCTGCCTGTTCTTTTTCTTATTAAAAGTTAGCACTTTGTTCATATTAAATATCATCTGGACAGTTTTATTGTGTTATTTTTTCCTCTACTTCCTACCTTTCTGCATTATTATGGGACTTATAATCCTTGAGAACATTTTTTTTATTTACAATATTTCTTATTTAAAATGAGATGAATTTCTGTGCAAATTCAGTGATGGGAAGGACTATATTTCCTTAGAAACTCATGTTCTATGGAATGAGATGCTTGAATAAAAGGAATGCATCTCACTCTTGTATTTTCAACATCTTACACAAAACTTGGACTATAATAGAAGTCAGCCATCTTCAGTTCTTCTGGCAGAGCAGACATACTCATGAAATAATCATGAGCTAAAGGGAAATTATTAGGTAGTCAGTATATGTTTATTGCAAGTATACTGACCCTGAGCTTCTAAGACTATTTAACTGTTACTTATCAACAAATATTAAAATTAAAGCAAGCAATTAGCTTTCATTTCCAGCAGAATTTAAATAATTTTGCTCTTCTTTAATGCCCACTTCCAGTATCAACACTTAAGCACTTAATGTGCTGCTGCACTTGAACTCCCATGTACCTTATTCATACTGGCAAACATTTTTGTGCCCACAGGTAAAGTAGCACAGACGCTGCCTACAATCAGATTATTCACTTTTGTTGCTGAGAGACAAACCACACCTCTGAGCTACACTTTGCACTCCAGAATGCTCAGCAGGAGAAATGCATGTAGAAAGGATGTAATAGAGTGCCTAGCCAATCTTGGGGACGATTCTTTGTTTGCCCCAGTGTTAACCGCTGACTAATGTTACTGAACATTTCTTTTGTTGCCATACAGGATGGAGGTCTGAGATTAGGAAGGTTGAATCTTGTGTAATGAAATCAGTACTTCACAGCTGACTTAGATTTTATAAGTCAGTAGCGGAAAAGCAGAGAACATTCTGATTTTTTTTTTCCTTAAAAGCCTGAAAAATTTCTAAATTTGTGAGTAGGAAGCACTACAATCCAATCTACTTTTATAAATTCTCCCAGTTGGAATAGTAATTTTAACTCTTCTAAGAAATACTATGTTAATTCCAACATATTTAGAGTTTTGGTTAAGAATGCAATCCAATAGGAAATGCAAACAAAACTGACACAAAATTTTAGATTATTTAGTAAACAATAAGTCTGTGAAACTTCATTTTAACTTTTTTTTTTTCTTTTTCTTTTGTGCTACAGGAGAGTGAATCCAGGGCCTTCTGGGTGCTAGGCAAGTCCTATCAATGAGCTATGTTCCCAGCCCCAATTCTTTGTACTTTTTTTTTTTTTTTTCATGGTACTGGGGATTGAACTCAGGACCTTGCCCTTGCTATGCAGGTGCTGAAGCCACTGAGCCATCTCCCTGGCCCCCAACTCTTAATGTTAGAGCATTCTCACCAACTTTCTAACAGCATCCTCTGCATGTTACAAATATCCAACAATTCTCAACAAATCATCATTTCTTTACTATACTCTTTGTAAATGAGACAGGTTTTGGATATTGCAGTTTGTACTTACATACTTAAGGAATTAAAAGTGAAGGAAATATTTAAGACAGCCCTAAATATAGAGAACAGATGTATATATCGGTAATATTTTCCCTGGCAAGTGTGAGGGCCTGAGTTTGATTCCCAGTAGCAAAATAATAATGTTTTCCCATATATTAACTAAAGCAAAAATGTAGGAGTTTTTTCTTATAGTGTGCCTTCCTTTGATTTGAGACTTGAAAAAGAAAAACATATTGCTCAATGTGCACTTCTGAGCTTGCCTGTAAAGGCAGGAACTTTCCATACTGATGTTTTTGGCAGTGCCTGGAGAAAGGCAAGTCATAACTAGATACGATATAAAAAGCAGGTGTAAAAAATGAAAATGAAAATACGAACTAGTATAAAGAATACAGCACTGGCCACCGGTCTTCAAAATAAGTAGAGATCCTTTCTAAAAGCTCAAGTGAGAAGCTATTGAAAAAAAATAAGAGAGAGAGAGAGAGAGAGAGAGAGAGAGAGAGAGCACATAGCAGGGGTGATAAACAATAGAATTGCTCTCAACTCAAATATTTATCATGCTGACTCTGGTCAAGGTGCTGTGCTAGCCAGCTTCCCTGAAAGGATCAAAGGCTAAGCAAAGGACACTGAGGTTGTGTTTATGAAGTCCCAGTTCACCTTCAGTTTCCAGATAGAGTCACTTACTGTTTCCTCAGGTTCTTTCTAATTATAGTTTTATGGATTATTTTACAAAATACACTTTGATGCCACTTTCTGTGATATTCCATGTCAGTATAACTTCACATATTCTTAGCAACCAAAAAATTTACATTTCAAAGATTGGGAAATCCAGCTGGTTCATCTTTTCCTTTTCATATCGTTAACCTTTATCAACTGTGCAGAAGACAGAACAAAGAAAACCCTGTCATCTTATTTTGCACTTATAAAATACCAGTTTAAAAAAAAAAAAAAGAGGATGGTGAAGATGGATTAGAATGCTTCTCTGGACATTCCATGGGCATCACCCAGCAAAACAGTGGTGTGGGTGTGAAGAACAGACAGCCCTCCGAGGTGGACGTTAGGATTTAGGTATAACCAGAAGCAGAAACAGGTTTAACCTGCCAAAGTACTGAGGATATTAGCGTGGTCCCTGACTTCCAGAGATGCCGTTTTGTACAAATGACTGAAAGATGGAAAAGTGCTTAGTAAACATCCTGGGACTGCTTATAGGTATGCCAAAACCAAATGAGACAAAGGGACAATCCCCCAACCCCGACTTCCTCAATGTCTCTTAGTTAACGCAAAACATAAATTAAAAATTTTAAAAGCATGTACAAGTCACAAAATAGTTTCTCTTATGTGATGTGTTTCATTATGATTTTGATTTCTTGTACTAAGTCAGATATAATGGATGGAGTCCACCTGGATGGAACAAGTAATTCTAGCTCCTTCCTGTTCACTCCCCTGTCCTGCCTTGGATCACACCCTCAACTCTAGTTGTGGGCGCCATGTAGTCACACAGCGACTGAACTCTTACACCATGCCATTTGCAGCTATGTGCCATAGAATGGGCTACCCTAGCAGTGTCGATGGGGTAACAGCTCTCAGCAGCAGCCTGTTGGATTCAAGGGTATGAAAGCTGGGGATGGGAGAAAAGAATGATGTAAACCGCTCTGATCCTCAGCCAGCATTCACCTAACCATTTTGTCTACTTGCCAGGAGGATCTGGAGAAAGCATTGCCATATTCAAGAGATTAATCAGGATCAGTGCTCTAGCTGGGGAACAGCAGAAGAATGCCCCTTCTCACCCTGTGTTTTTGTAATACTGATGGTGCATTTCAGTGGGGCGGGGGGATGAACCCAAGAGCCAGTGAACAGTTCAGCTCAGGCAAGGCTTGTACTTCCCTTCATCATCCATCCTCATGTTATGTCATTTCTTGCACTACTGTGGTTAATTTTATGTAAAACAAGTTTACTTTAGAAAATCAAAATGTGCCTATGTAATAAAGTCTACACACTGGCTATCTCTGTAGAGGTGAGGTTTTGCTTTAGTTCTACTGACTATACTCTGTAATGCCTTTTTTGAACTATGAAAATGAGCTATTAAATAAAATTTTTAACAAACTATATAATGTTTAATGAAGACGGGTATAAAAAAGAGTGAATGTTTAAGTTCTGTCCACAGTTGGTATGGCTAGAAATCATAAGCTGATAAGGTAACAAGGGACAAGTCTAATTATTCTAGTTAAATTTATTACATATAATTCCCGCTTTGTATTCAATACTATGAGAAAATGAATGAAAATGATAAAATCCTTAAGGTTTTCTCAGAGAAAAGTATATGGATATATGAAAAGTGAAAAAATG